TGCCTGGCATTGTTTTTGTTGTTGTTGTAGTTGTCATTGTTGTTTGGCAGGCCTGGGCCGGGCTCAAATCCACCAGCCCCAATGCATGTGGTCAGCGCGCTACCCACTGAGCTATGGGTGCCAAACCGTGTCATCAGAATTTTAATACATGCTTAATCAGAGCAATTAGGACTGTATGCAAATATTTTGTTTTAAAACACAAATTAGGAGCTGATTGGGGGCAGAGAGAGGGATTCTATTTTAAATCTTCCAGGTCATAGTGGGGAGTCACGTGAAAGTTCACATAATTACTGAGGACAAGACTAATCCAGGAATGATGATATTACCTTTCCAGAACGACATACATCCTATAAATGTCATTCTTACAATTAAAGGAAAACTAATGAATGAACTTTAAAGGTGCCAGGGTGGATAGTGAGAAATGAGAAACAAATATATACTATATATGAAGATAATAAAAATAGACTAAAAATCCATTTACACATCGGACACCAAATTAAATAGTTTAAATAATTAAATAACAGAAACTAACTTCATTATTATTTCCTTTCATAGTCAAACGAAAATCTTTTTATCCTTTAGGTCTGAATGTATTTCTCAACTTGGAAATAATTCTAACCTGAAAAACAAATCCTTATGAATACTTTAGCTAGTTGTTAAAGCACAGTATTACCCATCCTAAAACTTTTATGCTTGCAAACATTTTATGGCAACTGAATGAATGACAAGAAAACTGATTAAATTAAAAACCAGGAATTTTTCTTGGAAAATTGTTCACGATTTTATAAATAGTTTAGTATTAAAATATTCAGCTGGTCATATCTATTTAGGTAAGTGAGAAAAGAAAAAGACATGTTAATTTGCACTCATACAGTAGTGAAAACCAAGATTAAATGTAAATTAACCTGGCCTTTCAATTCTAAACCAGCAAAGCACTTTTAGATGTTAAATATATTTTCTTATAGGCCAGGCGCTGTGGCTCACACCTGTAATGCCAGCACACTGGCAGGCTGAAGTGGGCGAATTGCTTGACATCAGGAGTTCGAGACCAGCCTGAGTAAGAGCAAGACCCCATCTCTAAACAATAGCCGGGCGTTACAGCAGGTTCCTGTAGTCCCAGCTACTTGGGAGGCTCAGGCAAGAAAATCACTTGAGCCCAAGAGTTTGAGGTTGCTGTGAGTTATGATGCCATTGCACTCAACCCTTGGGTAACAGAGTGAGATTCTGAGTTTTGGATTTAGGAATATCACCTCAAAGAATGGTTAAATAACACTGCAGTTTAAGTGTTATTTATATGAAAAATGTAATATTTGCCATATGCTTTAAGTTTCTTAAAGGTAAGAATTACTGTAAAACCTTGCAACTTTTAAACATTTGACACAGTGTTCTAAATATAATAGATCCTAAATAATTATGTAAGACATTAATTTTCCTTGGTTATTCACTTGGTAAGCTCAGCACAATATATCTTTCCTTTTTCTATCTTGGTTTTAATCTTTGAGAAGAGTTGTTCAAGTAAGGAAACCTACCTTTACTTCACACAATAGTTAACAAAACATAATCTTTTTCCTTTAAAATGAAGTCTTTTAGTTTTAGTTCTAACATACCTAGGACACACATTTCAATTTTCTCTTAAGTATATAAAAAATAACAAATAGTATATGTCATGAATTATGATTTAAAAAACACTAACCAGGGTTAATGTTTTATTTATTAACAACATAAAAGACAATTCTTTGCCACTAGCCTTCAAATTCATACAATGCAACCCTCTTTCTTTAAGAACTAAGGAATTTGCACTATAAATAAACATTATTGCTAAGTGCATTAGGCTTCTATTTTTGATTAAATCCTTTGCTGGGATTTCCAATACTAATAATCTATTTAGTTCAGGAATATTCTCTGACAGGTAGAAATATGGTCCTGTGTTAGTTTTGTTACTTTTTTGTGTGTGTGTGTCTTGTTATTCTTGGACACACATGTCTTCATGACAAGCCCACTAAGCAAGAAGACCAAAATTATGTTACAATGTTAAAGACACACAGATTAAAAAACACCAAATACATAAGGATCCCATTCTTCTGTGTATAACCACCAAAAGTAAAAATGCAGTTTTCTAAAAACTCCTACATTCTTCTCTTTAGGTAGATGAGGAAATTTCTATCTACTAAATAGCAAACAAATTCACTTATAATTATTTAACCAGAATTGAGAAAACTATGTAATATTTTAATCACATACAAATGGGATTAAAAATTACTATAGCTTTTCAATTATCTACAAAAATGCTATTAAACACTTTTTTCATTAATATGTATAACATTTTTTTCATTATATGTTTATACTCTTATGCCTAATATTTTAAACAAAAGAAATTTGTTGAAAACAAAACTCTGGCCCCAGTGACTAGAGGGTCATAGTCAATAATGAACAAAAATTAATACTTCAAACAAAATCCTTTACTCTGTTAATAAATATGAAAGATCAGTCTTCAAAATATTGACTTTTTCTGCACCTTAGTTATTACTTAAGCCTTAAAATTTTTCAAGGAAAGAAAAAAAAATGGCATTATGTTGAAGGTACTAAAAAAATATGACAGGAAACAATGGTGTCTCCAGATGGGTGGATAGGAAGACGCTTTCTGTGAACAGGCAGTTAAGTTTAGTAAAGAGTCTTCATGATAGTTGTGGGACATTTTGAGTGTGCCTTGCTGGGGGAAAAAATACACACACACACAGACATAAAAGACAGGAAAAATTATACAGACCAAAAAAACTATTTTTTCTGATAACAATGGAAAGGCAAAAATACAAAAATAATCTTGTTTATGATGTTAACACAGGACACTTATTGTGATTTAAGTTCCCTGAGAAATGTTAAATGGTTATTTTATGTTGATGTATAGTAATGTCATAGTATTATAAAGCTGATTATCATGAACTATTTAGGTTAAGTTATATGTTGGGATCAATATGTACAAGTTTAATGTTGAGTTTATTTGGAATAGATAGAACACTACAAATATCCCAACTTGAGAAAAAAGACATTAAAATCATTTCTTAAATATGATATAAACTGGTTGAGAAGAAAGTTAGCCTACAGTCAAATGTAATTATAAATGCCCCATATGGTATGTTTTTAAAGTTCCTTTTTGGCAAAAATTATTTTGAGTAATGTCAGGTACAGGAATTTCTACAATTTGCACTTTGTCTTGGAGTTGGCTGAAAAAAATTTGAACTAATAACATCAACTCCCTACCATCTTTAGATTTCTGAGAACTCTGGGATCTCAAATCATACAAGGTTATTTATCCATTTCAGCATCAAAAGCTCATTAAACTTCATTGACTCATGAACTTTATATAATGTGATGCCATTTTCCTTACCTACATTCCTTTAAGAGAAAATTAACCCAACTAATTTGGAGAAACGATATGCCAACTTCCAACCATTCAAACAAATCCAATTTTCTACTGTAACCTTTAAACAGAGAAATGTCTAAGTAGGAAAAAAGGTAGTTCAATAATTAAAAAAAACTGAACACTACTCAGACCAAATTTCAGGCTAAATTTAAAATTACTTTAAAGAAGTATTAATATAATAATTTCACATCCTAAAATGCACCCCCAGGAAATAATTTAGAAATACATACAGATAGAAATGATAAACACTGTAAGTCAAGTCAAGTCACATCTAATTCTGTCTCAGGATACCATGCATTATCCCCGATGTATACATTATTGGAGTACTCAGAAATTATCCATAATTGTATATACATGATAAAGAGAAGACTACCCACAGAAAAAAACAAATCAGAATGGTATTTCAGATTCTCTAGATATTACATATTATTTACAGTGTACATATAATAAAAGCATTTCTTTGAGCACAATGTCTTTTAAAGTGAAAAAAATTCTTCTGAACTCAGAGAAATAAGCTATCAGGCAATTTATAATTATTCAGTCTCCTAAAAATATCATTTTTCAGAAATAGTTCAATGGTACCTTTGAGAAGCAATGGCTACATTTAAGAATAAACAACAATGAAAAACTTCTTTTAACACAAGAAGCAGATAGTACTGTGCTATGATGACCGAGTGGCAGCTTATATGCAGTTTGCCTACAGGGACCTCCATGTGCACTCTGCCCGCACATTCACTATACCAAGCATACACATTTGAAATATAGTCAGTGGTTTCACAGATACTAGTAAGGACATTCTAGTTAAAATGTAAACCACCCAAGAGGTGGTTGGGGAGGGGGAGGATGGGTGGAGGGAGGGTAATTGGTGGGACCACACCTATGGTGCATTTTACAAGGGTACATGTTAAATCTACTAAGTGTAGAATATTAACACAATAACTAAGAAAATGCAGTGAAGGCTAGGTTAACCAGTTTCATGAAAGTATTTTGAATAATGTATAAAATGAGCACATCGTACCCCATAATTGCATTAATGTACACAGCTATGATTTAATTAAAAAAAAAATAAAATGTAAACCACAATGGTAGAGTTTCATTTCCTAGGTAGGAAAAAATATATAGTAGTTTAAGATAAAATTGCTTTCCTGTATAAGATCAGGAAAATAAATCTTCAAAATTTACCCTGTGAGTTTATTTCATAGATAATGAAAATTAAGGAGAAGGCTCATTCCCCTCAGCACAGTGGTTATAGCGCCAGCCACATATACTAAGGCTGGCAGGTTCAAATCTGGCCTGGGCCAGCTAAAAAAACAATGACAACTACAACAAAAAATAGCTGGGCGTTGCGGTGGGCACCTGTAGTCCCAGCTACTTGGGAGGCTGAGGCAAGAGAATTGTTCAAGCCCAAGAGTTTTAAGGTTGCTGTGGGCTGGGATACAGCTGTGAGCTGAGCCCTCTACTGAGGGCGACATAGTGAGATTCTGTCTCAAAAAAAAAGAAAGAAAAAAGAAAAGAAAAGAGAAGAAAAAATTAAGAGAAAAAACCCAGAAGGATAACACTTCTAACAGTGATGGCTTACCTGATATGCCATTCTTGCTGGTGCTCAATAAAGCTACAGATGCTGCAGAAACTCTTTTATTGTTCACAGTCTGCCCTGGTTTTCTTGAGGTACATTCTTCACTATCACTGTCCTGTAAATTTAGTAGCCTTGGCTGGAAACACTGTAGTCGACATGATCTGATATTGCTTAATATTTCAGAAAGGGATAGTCTATTTTCACAATGTTTACTGGAAGAATTGGTCCGAGAGAAATTAGGAGAAAGGTCTATAGTTTGGGAAGAGCTTGAAAAACTATTCAACATTTCAGGGTCTATCTGTTTCAGGACTGGGTCATGTTCCGTGGATATTCGGTCCATTATGACTCTGAAAAGCAACATAAAACCAAACATTAACTGGAAGAACTCGACATCTTCTCTAAACATTCCCTTCTAGTTTATAAACTCCAAACAGGTCAAAACAAATAGTTTACCTTCCACCTCTGCCAATTCGCCTCCTTGCAAATCCAATACATCTTCTTGGGACTGTAAGTGTTGTAAGGCAATGCCTATACCTCAACTTATCCAAATCTGCCAATTCTGGATTTTCACACAAATGATTACCTTGGTCCAAACGAGGCTGCAAAAATAAGAAAATAAAAATGTATGGAATACATCTAAAATGAAGAAAAGTTAAACCATCATAAAATTACTGCAACAATAGCACAAAAATTAAAATCTATCTTATGACTTAGATCTGATTTTAAAAAAATCTAGATGTTAAGGCTGTAAAATTAGGGGCTTACATGAATATTAACCAAATTAAATTGTAAAAAACTAAATCAAAAGTTCATTCACCAAATCACACAAATTGAATTTTGTTTATAAATATAATTCACTTGAGGTATATTATATTTAAAGAGAAATACATCCTTAAAACATTATATAGTTTCTAACATTTATGTACAAAGTAGAAATATGGTGAAATTGTATAGTAATTTATAAGATTCCTACTGAAATTCTTGCAGAAGGAATTTTGGAGGGTTAAAAATTGTGCTTCAAGCACATGTGGGCCAAGGTGAAGTGTCCTCTTTTTTTTTTTTTTTTTTTTTTTTTGAGACAGAGTCTCAAGCTATCCCCCTGGGTAGAGTGCTGTGGCTTCACAGCTCACAGCAACCTCCAACTCCTGGGCTCAAGTGAGTCTCCTGCCTCAGCCTCCCAAGTAGCTGAGACCACAGGCGCCCTCCACAACGCCCAGCTATTTTTTGGTTGCAGCCGTCGTTGTTTGGCGGGTCTGGGCTGGATTCGAACCCGCCACCTTAGGTGTATGTGGCTGGTGCCTTAGCCACTTGAGCCACAGGCGCCGAGCCGAAGTGTCCTCTTTAAAGAAACACACGGCCCATTTCTTTGCCTTCTCATTTCCTTCATCATTCACTGTTCTGTGTCTTACCACTTTCATAAAAATTTCCCCATCTCTCATTAGCATAACTGGTGACTAACTCCCCACCTCTCCTACATTAAACACACATACCCTGAAAAAGTTGTGTCTGTTTACCCCTATACCCAAAATAAATGGTTTCCACAGCCACATAAGAAAGCCAGAGCCATCCTCATAATGCTATAGTTATACCTGATCTGAAATCCTCAGCATCATGAAATGATACTTAATAGCATAAAGCAATTTCTAATTGTGTCTAAAAGTTATGGCAAACTATTGTCATGAGGGACATTTTAAAATTATTACTTTGATACTTCCTGGACCTGTATGCACAGAATAGGCTTGTATAACAATACATCTCAATAAACTTCCAGCAGCCATTAAAGGTTTCAGAGCCAACTTAGAGGTTCTAGGTTTATCTTATTCTATCAATGACATACTGATTTTCATGACTGCTAAATTTAAAATTAAAGCCCAATGTGAAAAGAGATTTCTCAAATATGAAGAATTATCAATTTCCAGGTAGAAGACTGACACCCTTTGAAAAGATTCAGTACCTTTTAGTATCTTTTACCAGCATCCATATACAGGATGTTAAATAAAAAGTACTGATTCACTTCCCATTTTTAGATCAAGACTAAGTGACCTTGACATGAGTTATCTGTTAATTCCAGTTCACAAAACACCACAAAAAAAATAAAGTTCTTACAGCATAATACTGGCATCCTGCCCGTCTTCTGAAAGCACAGGGACCATCAGGATCATTTTCTTCTTCGGGTTCTGATACTGGGGATGGTACCTAGACAAAAGACACATTCCACTTAGGAGTTATCAAAGCCAACAGATCAATGTTTATAGTGATCTAAAATTTAAATCTGGTTACAAATAGCAAATCACTCCTATGTTATATATAGTAGGCAGTGGATTCCCCTAAATGTTTAATGGCTACTAAAATTTTCTAGGGTTAACATTTTTATTTTAATGGATTAGTTCTTACAGGTAAATACCCATGGTATTACTTAGTTACTTCTGAACATGAAGTGCCACAGACTTGAAAAGAATTAATACATTTGATATATCCAATTATCCAATGATATTTTATAAATAATGTATGTGGCTATACGTAGGTGTTTTTATTCAATAACTTTATCTCTCTGTAATAAAGCCAAACACTAAGTAAATAGGCTTACAAATAGCAAATAAATAAATGAATAAATAAATATTTCATAGAGGCAAACGATTTTACTCAAAGGGAAGTCTTTTATCCCCACAGTCCTTGTTTTTAAAGAAATCATTTTTTTTTTTGAGACAAAGTCTCACTTTGTCACCCTCAGCAGAATGCCAAGGCATCACAGCTCACAGTAATCTTCAACTCTTGGGCTCAAGTGATTTTTTTGCCTGAGCCTCTTAAGTAGCTAGGACTACAGGCGCCTGCCACAATGCCTGGCTATTTTTTTGTTGCAGTTGTTTAGCTGGCCCAGGCTGGGTTCAAACCCACCACCTTTGATGTATGTGGCTGGTGCCATAACTACTGTGCTACAGGTGTCGAGCCAGAAATCACTTTTTAAATTTAATGAATCAGAGTAGAAAATTGAAAAGAAGAAAGGAGACTTGCTAAAGGCGAGCTAATTGGTTGTAGAGAGAAGTGATAAGCCCACAACCTTATAGTAAAAGAATAAAGACTTTTAAAAACTATCACACATTAAAAAGCTTCTGCCTGGGCCATGTGATATTAGGCCAAATATCCCTACCTAATCTGAGTAAATCACCAGGCTAGTACTGATCCATCATAGTACATTTTGTAAGTGTCATAAAAACAGACTGAATGATATACAAACAAATTCTGACATAGCAGGGAAATAATAGGTTTTAGATAAACTTCCACCCATAATGGTTAAAATGAAAAAAAAAAAAGTTTTGGTACTTAAGTTTCAGTTGTCTCGCACTTTTCACTTTGCAGTACATCTCTTTTTTTTCTGAATAATGCTGGCTCAACAATATTTACTTGCAAGTTTTTGAACCTCACAAATCCCTCTCTTCCTATTTTGAGAGGAAAAATGTTTTCACCACATTATTTCCAAACTGTGGTAATCACCACTGGGCAAGGTCATCCAGGGGAGAAAGGCATTTGTTTGAGGTTCCAACATATCTCCACCAACCCTAAGGGGGGAGACACAGAAACAGTGAGCTTGGGCTGATTCTTCTTTATGTGGAACCAAACCCCAAACCTAAAATTTTAAAGGAAATCCCAAATGTGAAATTTTACACTTTGGTTCCTTTGCAAAGTACGTACCTCTTCTAAGATATACACATACCCAAGAAGTACCATCAAGTCTCAGAAATTCTTTGCATAAAGTGTATTCCTACCCCCTACCCACACTACAATTCCCTAAGTGCAGGTTCTAGGGGACAAAGTTAGTCCAAGACAAAGGAGAAACAGTTGGTGTTGGGAGAATCAGAAGCATGATCAAGAAGAGCCAGGGCTTTTAGTTTTGCTCTACTGCAAATCAGTTGGGTAAGTCTGGCGGAAATGTTTGTTCTCTTAAGACTTCCTATTCCCTTGTTCCTCTCCTCATTTACCAGAGAAAAAGCATATGATTGCTTTAATGATCTTGTTCACAATGAAATTCTGATTTTGTAAGAGATTCATTCTAAATAGTTGCCATACTGAATGGTGCCCAATTATAGGTAAATACTCTTTAGCCACATGGGGATAACATAGTGAGGGTTGTCTAAAATTTTTTAAATGCAATTTTTATGTACACTGGGGACTGTATAAATAAATATTGAGAATTTAGAGCAGAAATGAAGACCCTGTAACACACAAGGAACATATACTAATTCTGCTGCGTGAGCTCTACTTTCAGGCTGAATGAACTGATTCTAGCAATCAGGGAAAAGTATCTACAGGTCACAGTATCCCATGGTATCATTTTCTTTCTTTCTTTTTTTTTTTTTTTTGAGACGGAGCCTCAAGCTATCCCCCTGGGTAGGGGGCCATGGCATCACAGCTCACAACAACCTCCAACTCCTGGGCTCA